CAACATCACACTGCCGTGGGCCCCCCTGCCCCCACCCCCAGCAACATCACACTGCCGTGGGGCCCCCTGCCTCCACCCCCAGCAACATCACACTGCCGTGGGGCCCCCTGCCTCTACCCCCAGCAACAGCACACTGCCGTGGGGCCCCCTGCCTCCACCCCCAGCGACATTACACTGCCGTGGGGCTCCCTGCCTCCACCCCCAGCGACATCACACTGCCGTGGGGCCCCCTGCCTCCACCCCCAGCGACATTACACTGCAACAATGCCCCCTTACCTCTGTAGGTCAAGTTCATCGAGTCGTTTCTGCGCCTCTCCCTTCTGGTTCTCAAGCTGAGTGGCAGTGACCGACAGCGTGTCCAGCTCACTCTGTAGGGACTTCATCTCTCCCGTCCGGATCCTAATGTCCGCCTGCATCCAACAAGCGCATGCAAGAGATACGGGTCAGCGAGCACGCAGCATCCTCACACCGCTCACACAGACAGCCACCCGCACACGCAGCATCCTCACACCGCTCACACAGACACCCGCACACGCAGCATCCACACACCGCTCACATAGACAGCCACCCGCACACGCAGCATCCTAACACCGCTCACATAGACAGACACCCGTACAGACACCCGCACACGCAGCATCCACACACCGCTCACATAGACAGCCACCCGCACACGCAGCATCCTAACACCGCTCACATAGACAGACACCCGCACACGCAGCATCCACACACCGCTCACATAGACAGCCACCCGCACACGCAGCATCCTCACACCGCTCACACAGACAGCCACCCGCACACGCAGGATCCTCACACCGCTCACATAGAGACCATATAAGGCCATAATAAAAATATTGTTTGTTTGCCCTCACCCGACAGACCCGCCAAAAAGGGGCTGACTCAAACAATTTTATTGATCTTTTTTCTTCCTTTTTTTAAACAAATTGTATCACTGAACATTATATAAATCTGTAGGCAATACATTATATGTACGAAGCAAAACAAACATTAAACATAAAAGGTATCTCAACACAAGCACACCCGAGCATGTAGATACCATGCTGAATTTGTAAAAAAAAAACCACCCTCAAAACAAACAAAAAAATCCCAACCTACCTACCCAAACTTTTCAGCCTGGGCCGGGTGAGGGCAAACAAATATTTTTTTAATTGTGGCCTCACATAGAGACCATAAACATTTGAGAAGTTTTGACGTGATGAGAGATAGACCAGCTGTCGAAACTGTTGCTAATCGTCAATTAAACATATTCATCTGGAAATTTTTTCTCACTAATTTCAACAAACGATTCAACGCACCTGCGTCTGTGTGATGTCCTGCTCGTACACTAGCTTCTCCTTTGCTAGTTCCTCCAGCTCCCGCGCAATCACGTCGATCTCCTTCGCTATGGCTGCATCGCCTACCATCCCCGCTTCCTACGCAGACAGACAAACACACATTCACACGCGATTCCCGCAAAGCATTCCACGACAAGATTAATCCAGAGCACTCAGCCATTCCCCCCCCCCAGCCCCCACGAAGAACCAAGATCAATAACGCGATTTATTTCTTCGCGGAGTATAAGCCGTGCAAATGGCCGATCTGCTGTAATTTACTCTATACTTCCACTGCATTATATTTTCATATCTAGAAATATCGCTTATATAGTATATTATATTATATTATTATTATTATTATATTATATATATTAGCACGCCTCCTTACAGATCCCTGTATTTTAAATATTAGTAGGTAAAACATCCCCTATGCTACAAATAACATGACGAAATTTCTGCTAATACCCCCATACTGCGCATATTGCACATGGGTACCGCAAGGATCCGTCCTTGGACCTATTCTATTCAATATCTTTAGAAATGACATCTTCATAATCAATGCACCCGGATATTGCTAATTACGCAGACGACAACACATTTTAAAATATATAGCAATAACTTGAACACACTCATCATTACATGACTAACATGAGGCTCATCCCGCCTAACAAAGTAGTTTAATAAAAAACGCAGCGCGAAATTAGCACTATTTTGCTGGCGGCCGGCAGTTCATTACCTTTCCTCCCCCTCCCCTCCTGTTTCTCACCCATGTACATCAACCCTCCTCCCCCTCCCCTCCTCATTCCTCACCCATTATATCAACCCTTTCCTCCCCTCCCCCCTCCCCACTCACGCGCGACGTCTCACTCACTCTGCACGCGCAGCGAGGGCGGCACCATCTCGGGCGACAGCTGCGCGCGGGCGGCTCCACGCCCTGCTACGCGCCCTCTCCACAAGGTACAGCGCGAGCGCGAACTGCTCGGCGTTCAGCCGCCAACCGCGGCGTTGACGTCGCACAGACGACCACACGGCGCGAGCGTCGGCCTGCCGAGGCGCGACGCGACGAAACGACGGACGCGCCGTCCCGCGCCGGTCACGTAGCCGCACGACTTCCACCGTCGAGCCGGCGGCCGAAACTCGCGTCGGTACTTCACACGCTGGCCGCACGCCGTCACGACCCAGCGCCGCCGCGCCTGGGGCTGCTGCGGGCTCAGTCGCACGCGAGGTGGCGCCACCGATCGACGCGTTCCGCTGACGGCGGCACGGAGCGGTCGGTAGAGTTGGCGGCAATCGCTCGGCTGTCGGCGGCGGCGCGCACGGAGGTACATGGCGACGGGCAATCGTCTCGATCCGCGGCAAGCCGTCGCCGCGTCGATGTCCGACATCTCCCAGATGGCGCCGGCGTTTTCGCACGGGCGGCGTGACTCGTCACTCGCGCCGCTTCGCCTTGTCGCGCCGACAGCAGAGCGCGGCGCGTCTGGGGCCGAGAGCGTCGAACATCTGCTGCCATCGCGCGCGGTCGGCCGCGGCGATCGCCCAGCCGTCGTGCTGCTGCTGCAGGTAGTCGCCAAGAGAGGGCGCCGCGATCGTGTTGTCACGGATGTTGAGGAGGCTGACCTCCTTGCCGTTCTGCGCGAGCGCAACGAGCTTCATCGCCGTGAAGAAGCACTCCTTGTCGAGGAAACCTGTGTGTTTAGAATAAACTATCGTTGTCACTGACAAATCGATTGTTACCGAGTATATGCCCGACAACGCCGAATTCGACGTTACACATGCAATGTGAAACTACCCAGGCTTGTCCAGGCAGCCTGCAGCATCGAGAGAGAAGCAATGAAGCTACACAGGTTTGTCCAGGCAGCCTGCAGCATGGAGACAGAAGCAATGAAGCTACACAGGTTTCTCCAGGAAGCCTGCTGCATGGAGGGAGAACCAATGAAGCTACACAGGTTTGTCCAGGCAGCCTGCAGTATGGAGGGAGAAGCAATGAAGCTACACAGGTTTGTCCAGGCAGCCTGTAGCATGGAGGGAGAAGCAATGAAGCTACACAGGTTTGTCCAGGCAGCCTGCAGCATGGAGGGAGAAGCAATGAAGCTACGCAGGTTTCTCCAGGCAGCCTGCAGCAAGGAGGGAGAACCAATGAAGCTACCCAGGTTTCTCCAGGAAGCCTGCTGCATGGAGGGAGAAGCAATGAAGCTACACAGGTTTGTCCAGGCAGCCTGCAGTATGGCGGGAGAAGCAATAAAGTTACCCAGGCTTGTCCAAGGAGCCTGCAGCATGAAGGATATTGGGGAGACAAAAGATAGTTTACTCAATGCAGGCCCAATCCTAGCCCTTTGACTATAATGATTCCGGCCCTAACCTAATCTTTTAACAATAACTCTAGCCCTAACCCTAATACCAACAGGGCCGTAGCCTGCGGGGTGCAAGGGGGGCAGCTGCCCCCACCTAGATTTTGGACCAAAATTAAATTGACCCCGAGAAAGATAAAAGAAGACTAAAATAGAATTGTCCTAGTCAGAATGAAGGCTGTACATGTACTCAAAAGTGCCTCAAATACAATCTCCTGCGATCTACATTTTCAAAATTTTCTGTGATAGGACCCCCAAACCCCCCACCTGTTTCTCACCCCCTCCTTGAAATCCTACTACAATTGACCTACCCTTGGCTCCTCTGTCCGACAGATCCCAGATCTTGCCGAGAACGCTGTCAGAGAGCTTGGATTTCTTGAGTATGTTGGCGGCGTCGAGCGCTCCGACGCTACCGCTGCCTGCAGCGTCGGCGAGGCTCCACAGCGCCTCGTAGACGTTGTGGCGGTGGCCCGAGATAGCCGAGAGCGACGGTGGGGAGCAAGCCATGACGACGACGTTCAGCTACGACCCTGAAACCACACGTACGCCGGTCGTCATCCCGCGTCGGCGCATACTTTACAACTCGATCGCGCCTCTTAATGTTTAGATTTTGAATAGATATGAGCATCAGGATTTTGAGCAGGAAGTATAGAGCCAGGAGGATCTCATACAAGGGATTGCTATGGCTACAAGGGGGCTTAGATTGAATAGCAAGGAATAATTTATTTAAACGTCAACTTCTGTATCAGCGTATATCTAGTTGTTATACTTATACTTATAGGACTCTACTGTAACAATAGTATTGTCAAAACGTCAATAGCGCTGAGTCGCCGACCGACTGCACTGTACTGTGTACATCATTATTATTTATGAATCTGATTATTGAACACGAGCCGTCTACACTGTCTTGCGCTGCCTGCAACTGCAAGTCAAGTGCAAGTTCAAGTTGCAGCCCTCACTCCACCATTTAATTTTCGTTGTTGATTGTTTTTATATCTCATCAATCGATTAACCACAATTATTAGTTTTGCCTTTTTCAATTAAACGGATGACAAGTGACTTGCTGGTCACTGACTACTGTCCACGGTCCGGTGTCCACGGTTCGTTGGCCACCCATGACCCACCCCAGGCAGGGTCACCGACTCCGGTCACGGGGGAGGCGGGACCGGTAGATTACGATCAACCATGAAAACGTCATACAACCTAGCCGCGAAAATAGTATCGTCTACTAAATCGCACGCGCTGCGACGCTAACTAAATGTAGTACGTGTATTCACCATCAAAAGTTCGGACTCTCGAATTTTTCACTTTGAAAATCAAAACTGCATCGATCGGAGTTGCTCGACTTCCATACTTGCACTTTAGCGCCGCCACATCGGGGCGAAGCGATGATCACTTGTTTATTTATGGAAGGCAGTTGCTGGAGACGATTGTAGACGAATTTTATAACCATAACTGTGCCGTAACAGACACGTTTGTATACCTAGCAAATGTCTTTATTCGCTTAAAATAATTATCAGTGAATATTGCGGTAAATAAATGACGAATCGGTACGTATTCTTGCGATTTGCGGTTGCGTTTCCAAGTAAAGTAGGGCCTAGCGTCTAAATTCTAGTTCACTGTTTTAGCTAAGTTAGTTATAATATAAACCGACCAGGCTCTCCGACTAGTTACACGGCGTTCGCCTAGTCGCCACGTCCGACTAGTTCGCCACGTAGTGTTAAGCGAGATGGGAACTTGTGGCTAGTTAGAATAGTACTATTACTATTACTATTAGTATTAGTAGTATTTTAGTACGCTTCAATGTGTGTTTGTGTTTATCTTACTAGTACAAGTTAGTTTATGTCATTTCACGCCCTAATTTATTAAATTAATAAACCCTGTCCGTAGTAGACATTGAAGCTCTGCACAAAAAAGCGAAGACATTACAATTCTCCTCTCTTGTAATTTATTTGTAACAACACCCGTGGCATTGCACAAGTAAAACGCATGCACGTACCCCCCCCCCCCCCACATACAGATATACGCACAAACTCACACCCGCGCGCGCGCAAACACCTGCATATAAGATATAACAGTTTTATTTTTCGCTTACAACATAAAACAAGAATTAACAAGGCAAATAAGAAAACAATACCGCGAAGGGATGGCGAAAAGACCCGCATGTGTATGTCGTACCCAAACTTGGAATCTGCACAATCTCGAGATTGTGCAGCGATTGTGCTGCCCAAACTGCGGATTCCCTAGTTTGGCTGACCAATCTCAAAATTAGGCAAACTGAAAACAGTCGTTCATTCAACAACCGCTCATAGCGAGTGTGTGGTGTGCATGGTGCAAACTAAGAAGAGATTTATCTCATATTTATCCAATTATTTATTATAATAATTTAATATTTATACAAAGGTGCCAAACACATTGAGGAAAGAAGGTATACGACCTTATAGTTGTGATATAACATTTGAAATCCTAATAATCATATGTTTGTGCAACCTCTGTTTACCTCTGTTTGCCCAATCTCAAGATTGGTTGCCCAAACTGTGGATGCGCTGAAATTCCAAGTTTGTGCAAGATTCCAAGTTTGGGCACAACATATCCACACATGTGCACACATGCACTAAAACTCTTGACTTCTTTTGACATTATATCTCTAATGGGTAAAGTGCAATTTTGGCTTTTTTTATCCTGCTAATACTTGTCGGCGGATTCCGTCACATAAGACATAGTCACAAAGTTCTCTCGCTTACAGCACAACCGCCTGCTACGGTCGGCCAAGACGCAGGCCAGCCACCTAGCAACACGCGTGTTATGACTCTTCGCAGCATGGACTCGTCCACCACTGGAGGGCGCTCCCCGGCTGCCGCCGCCGCGTCGCAACTCTACTACATCTGCACTGCCTGCAGCAAGTGCCTCGAGACTGAGGCACTGTTCCTCCGTCACTCGCGCCGCGTTCACTGCAAGGTGCTGCACGTGTCAAAGGTCGAGGGACCCGGCGAGGACGACTCCCACGCCGTCGGTGACTGGCAGGTGGCGCTGCCGACGGCCGCGACGAGCCGCTGCATCCAGCAGGTGACCCGACTCCCCGGCGGAGGTCAGCAGAGTCGATTTCGGGAGATCGCCGCCTCGACTGCCGCCGCGCGGAAACAGTCGAGCCGTGGCGAGGTGAAGGGGGCGCCGGTGTCACCGCCCGCGTGCCGGTTCTTAGGGGGCGCCACCGAGGAAGATGCGGCGGTGGATAACGACCGCGTGGCGGTGGTGCAGCACGGAGCGTGGGTGAACGCAGTGCCTGCCGGGGGCGAGGGGTCTGGAAGCCGGGCCACGCGGTCGCTGGATGAGCAGGCGATACACAGCACCAGCCTGGAAGCGCACGGCGGCGGCGGCGCGGGCGAGGCGCACCCAGGGGGTGCCGCCGACTTCGTTCATCCGTCCGTCGCGCAGAACATCCAGGACATTCTCGACTGGAGCACGCAGACGGACGAGGTCGATCGAAAGTGCAACCAGCAGGGGGTGCTGCGGTCGGACGAGAGCGACGGCGCTGCCGGCCCGCTGTCGTCGAGCGCGGACACGTACCTCGACCGGATCGACGGTGGCGCCTCCGAGTGTGGCGCGGACCCGATGGAGGGCTGTGACGACGCCGACATAAAAGAGGTGTTCTCGGACAAAGCTAACCCAGAGGTTGTTCACCAGGTGCAGCGACTGTTCATGTCCGCCGATGACGGGCCGCGGGAGCAGTCGCTGGTCCCACTGCAGCATCCGAGTCCTCTGTCGCATGCTCAGCCTCCGCTGCGAGCTCAGAGCTGCGGGGGCGGCGGTCTGCGGGCAGGCGGCATGGTGGGCGAGGGGCCGTACAAGTGCAGCATATGTCAGAGCACGTACAAGTCGCACCTGCACCTGAAGATACACCTGGGCAAGGCGCACAAGGGCGTCGCGTGCCTGCGGCCGTACAAGTGCGGGCTGTGCAACGCGACCTTCTCGCGACGCACGTGCCTGAAGACACACCAGCGAGTACACACGGGCGAGCGGCCGTTCCCCTGCAGGTACATGCATATCTAGAGGGGCACTCTCTCTCTCTCTCTCTCTTCTCCTCTCCCTCTCTCTCTCTTCTCCTCTCCCTCTTCCCTCTCTATCTCCC